TCAACAACTGTGAATTCAAACTGAAATGCAACTAAGATGAGAAGTCTGATGCAGGAATAAGGTTACTAGAGGACACTACCTGGAAGAGGCAGCTTGGAACACTGCCCTTTCAAATAATCTTAATGACTTCTACTACTGCATTGTCAATGCTTAGCTCGGATTGCAAGTCACTGCTCCTTTTCCCCCTGGTTGGGCAAACATGGCCTAAACCAAGTAAGGTTCCTGAAGGTCAAGTTAGAACCAGCACCACTTACTAGAAGGTTAAAGAGGCAAGGGATAAGAAGTTAGTTATGTCAAAGCTAGGGCACTATCTTAACAACCCTTCACAGAAGTAGCTGATGTTATCCTAGTCCTATAGTCAGATATACTTTCAAGGAAGCAAAGAGCACTTGGGTCAAAGTTTAATCATTAGGGGGAAAAAAAAATAATTCAAGATGTTATATTCTATAGAGCTGGTGTATTTCTCAATTATTCTTTAGCACTAGTTACTGTGGCTCTCAAACTGGAAGTATGCCTGAACTCATTGCCAAATTGTAAGATTCTAGTGTCAGGTAACTGTTAACTAGTAAACTATTTAACATTAAAAGCATCAAATACCTATCAGCACATACAGCCTTACTTTTAAATCCAAAGAGTTTAGAAAGCTACAGATTTTGGGACAGAAGTTTTAGGGGAAAAAAAGTTACACACTGAACAAAATCTGAATGGCAGAAGAAAAATGTATTTCTGGAGACGTGACAACAAATTAAACTAAAGTTTCAAGTATGAAGGTCAAATAAGATTTCACGCCAGTTCCTTCTGATTGCTGTAACTGTAGAGTTAAGTCAGGTTTCCTGCATATGCAGCATGTTAATAAAGAAATTCGTGGGGATACAGTTGTGACGTTTAGAGTAGTGTTGGTCCTAAAAAGAATAATAACCATTAGGTCCACCATCTCGCACACATTCTACTCCCTACTGGTGCAATCCTTACCCCCCAAAGCTAGTGGAAAAATCTTTGGCACGAAATGGCAACAGGCATCAGGGATGAGACAGCTCCTTTAGAATAGTTCCGTTTCTTTGGACAGGATATAGCTAGAAGCTTGCTAGACACAGTAAGGCCTTCTGCGCAGGGTTTAAGTGTTTTGTTTAAATGTTTTGATGCGATCTATGAAGAGGACACTTGAAACCTTACCTATGCAAAAGGCTTTGTTATGAACCATAGCCATAGCAGAGGAAAAGGAGTATTTGAACTATTGTTCACTGACTGCTATGGGATTAAGTGATAAGGGGAACAGACCACTCCCAGGAGATCGTGGTAGGGATCAGCTTCCTGTGAAGCTAACAGGGTTACTCAATATATTGGTAGAGAACTGATTCTGACCATCAGGTTTTGTCGCTGCCTGCTTTTGGACTGGTTTTCTATATCATCATTTAGGTAACAAACTGTATGAGCCAAGTATAAGTAGTTAACTGCCTTTTTTGGTTGCTTGCTTCAGATTAGTCAAACCTGTGTGCAGAAGCTGCTAGATAGACTATCTAAATTGAAGCTACTGTCCTCAGTATTTAGTATCTGAAATTGCTAGTGGCAATGCTTTTCATCAGTCATTACAGCTTTGGCACCAAGGAAGATGGGCTCTTTAGTTTAAAGTTACTTACTGCTAGTGTTAAATGGAACATTTGATACTAGCTATCTGGCTTCTAGAAGTGCTGGCAGGTTTCTTCTACTACACAGAAAATAAATTTAGCACCAATAGTAGTGTCTCATAATTTGTTCAATGAGATTTCGTTAGGCTTTGAACCTCAGATGCATGCACTTTTAGCACTCCAGCAATCCAATTGATGCAGCTTGAACCTGAACGCAAATTCAGCTCATGCTTTTTTTTTTTTTTTTTTTTTTTTTTTTTTTTTTTTTTTTAATACAATGTAGTTGCAACATCTTCCAGATCCCCTTTAATTGTTTTTAAAAGTGAAACAGTTCAGGCCTACAAATCTTAGAGGTTAGTTTCTTGTGAAAGCCAGTTTGGTTTTTGCTTTGTGAACAGCCTTTTTAATTAGAAGCCAGCACGCTAGATTTTAACATTTGATGAGTCATTACTGAGGAATGAAGTAGCCTCCCAAACATGAATATGCAGCAGCCTATTTAAACACTGTTGTTAGCTTTAATATTAATCAGTGTTTATTACTTTGTTTAAAACAGTTTGTTAATTTAGAAAGATTAGATTGGGGCACAAACTATGCAGATTACTGTCAATTTGGCAAGAACTGAAGGACACTTGCATTTGGACTGACATTTAAACGAAAAACAACCTTTTTTGGAGAAGCAAGTCCTGCGTTTTAAAATGCTAATGGAAACATTTAATGCAAACAGGTCTCATAGCTACTCTCCTTCAATGTCAAATTGTACAAACTGTAGAGGCAGCATCATAATTTAAAATAATCTCAGATGTTGAGAATTCATTTTTAAATCTTCTAGTGCTTTAGTTAAGAAATACAGCTCCAGCCCATTTCAAATTGGGAGTGCCCCTTCAATGTTACACATTACTTTTGCTACAGCCGACTACAGATTAGGTCTCTAATGCACATTCTAACAAATTACTACAGCTTCAGCTACCCATGGAGCTGTACAGGAAAAAAAAAAACCTGCATCAGTTTGTCCCTTCAGCTACAAGCTCAGCTTTTGATGCTCCAGACCTCAAGAATCTGAAATAGGGTCATCATGTCCCAACATTAAATTTACACTGACAAATCCAAACATTCGACATCCCCTTGACACTCAGATAATTGAGGTCAACTCAGAGCTTTACTTTTTCAAAGGAGCCTAAACCAGGCCTTTTAATAGGACCTGCTGCACCTAGAACAGCATAGAAGTTGCTCATAAACCTTCCAGTTATGTAACAAGCATGTGCAGATAAAGGTCCGAGTTTAGCCATTATGAAAGCTCTACTTTATAGCAAAGGGTGTTGGTTGCAGTGTTGGTCACAGGCCGACAAGGTTCTTGAGGTAGAGGTGATCTCTTTTATTAGACCAATTGGGCAGTTGGAAAAAATTGTCCTTTGCAAAATTTTGGGCCTTCTTCAGGCATATAGGGAGTCATCGGCTGACTTGTGCTACTTTAGTCATGCACTAAAGTAGTCTCTTACAGAGGAAAAAGCTTTGCGTGGATCCGATTACAGAATGGGTCTATGGCAAGCTGTACTAGACAAGGTATTTATTAGATTAAGGTATTTGAAAAATAAGCTTTTTATCTAAAACAGGGAAAAATTCTTCCTACCTTCAACGCCCCTCTGCCCCTGGAGTGAATGTTTGGGGCTAGAGACGATTAATAAAAGCAGCTCTATCTAAATGGACTTTGCTGTGAGGACTCCTGGGAATGGAGGTCAGCCTTGTACCTCAGCTTGCACACAGCTCCAGTTTCCTTCCAAATCCTTGTCATGCATCTCTTTTCAAGAGCTAACAGCAAGACTCCTAGGCCTCGGTCTGGATTCAGCAACTAAGCAGCCACCACCTTGGATTTGGCTAGTTAAATGCATTTGCTTCAGCTAGGGAATTTCTGAGCCCAGGTGGCGAGATGCCAAAGGCAGGAGACCGGATCTCACTGTCTCAGCAGTTTTATTTTCTGCTAGCAGATTCCAAGCCCCATATAAGCAGACAGTAAAACAGCGAGCACAGGACCAGCCCCAGCCCCAGCCCAAAGTCCAGGTTCTGCAGGAACCTTTCAGGAAAGGCTCGGGTCGGCCTGCCCCCAAGATGCAGACCCTCCTGGGACACCGTACGGGGCTCCCCCCTCCTGCAGGGGCCAGGTCTCAGCCCTGGAGGGGCCAAGCTCCAGCCCTTCAGCAGCAAGCCCGCAGCAGGGCGGGTTTAACCCCATCCACACGGCCGGGAGCAAGAAAGGGGTCACCTAAGCTCGCAGCAAGGTTTAACCCCTTGCACGCTGCCAGCTATAAGGCAGAGGGATTGGGGGGGCAGGGAAGGAGCCACCTCAGCCTGCAATAGGGTGGGTTTAACCCCATCCACACTGCCAGCCACATGGCACGGAGCAAGGAAAGCTCGCAGCAAGGTGGGTTTAACCCCGTCTCCATGGCACAGAGCTCGCAGCAAGGTGGGTTTAACCCCGTCTCCATGGCACAGAGCTCGCAGCAAGGTTTAACCCCTTGCACACTGCCAGCTACAAGGCAGCAGGGTGGGGAGGAGGTTTAACCCCTCCCACACCACCAGCCCAAGCTCCTCAGGGCCAGGGAGACGTCATCCACGCCTCACCCTCCACAGCAGGGGGCGCCCCTGACGTAGCCGGTCTACAAGGTGCAACCCCGCTCACCTGCACGATCCGGCGCGGCCGCACGGCCAGGGTGGGGAAGTTGCCGCGGCCGTGGATGGGCACGGCCTCGCCCAGGATCTGGTCCAGCCGTTGCACCTGCTCCCAGGTGAGGACGCTGAAGCGGCCGCCGCGCCGCTCCAAGCCGCCGGGCCCGGGGCCCCCCGCCGCTGCCGACAGCATCGCGACGCCCCTCGGCTGAAGCGGCCGGAAGAGGAGGCGGAAGTGGGAGAGGAAGCGAGGCGGAAGTGACGGGGAGGAATAAAAAAAACCAAACAAACGAAAAAGAAGCACAGGAAGGCTAAGAATCAATTCTGAGGGGAAACGTCTCCTGAAGGCCCGCGCGGAGGAGCAGAGTGAGGCCCGTCCCGGCTGCACGGAGCACTGCGCCGCCTAAGCACCCGCGCCGCCTTATATCAACGCCTCGCCGCGCGCCGATTGGCTCGGGACCGCCACCCATCACCCGGCCGC